CTCCTCAGATCATTTTTAAAGATGACGTTGTCTTCTGCAGATTGGGGAAGGTTCTGGTTTAGGGTACATCGGCCTTTCTTCCTTTCCCTCCTCCCCCTGCCTCTCCCAAAGTTCAATGCCCACATCAAAACAGTTGGGATCTTGTGTAGATTTAAATAATGTTCCCCTGGTACCTTTTAGAAAGCCAAAGACTGTACAGGCATTTGGTGGCAATACTACATGTTTAAATAGAATAAACAGAAAGGCATCACCCCCTTTTTAAGCTTCGAGACTCGCTGTGGCAGGTAGGTGTGTGTAAGTGTGCTCATGTGTGCCTCCACAGAGCATGACAGGTGGTGATTTTGGTCGAGAGTGTGTGCCATCCGGAGAGTCTCTGGCTTTGAAGGAAGAGGTGGTGTTTTGCCATGTAGCTTGGTTTCTTGAGGGAACCAATGGGAAAGTTATTTGAAACCACCTGTGTCTAGAGAAATGAAAAAAAAAAAAAAAAAAACTCCTAGCAATTATCTGAGAGGGTTAAAGAAGCCATTTCTTTTTATGGGATGCTGTCTGGAAGAATAGCCTGGGCCTGGTTTCTCAGAGTTGGCAAACATTTTCCTCTTTGTGAAGGGTATAACAGAACACAAAGAGGTCAAGTGTATGTGATACAAATGAAGTGGAAGTTGGATGAAAATGGAATCGGTATTGACCACCAGTTTAGCTCGCTTGGGCCTTTTAAAATGTCAGTTATGCAAATCAGCCAAATATTCCCCTCACATTGTGCCGTTTAGACGCATGTACAATTTTGTGAAGGCTGTAATGATGGAGTCATCAGGAGGTGAAGGGGGTTTCATAGTGCAAATGGCTTCTCTAACCCTCACACAGGGGAAGTACAGAAGGACCCAGAGGTAACCTCCTGCAGCAGGAAATGGGAGCTTCATCCTGCTGCCTTGCCAACCTCCTGTCTTCATTTCCTCCCAGCAGATATCTCCATTCCAATCTCCCCTGCCACTTTGGCTCTCTCTTTGTCATCATTCAACTGTTCTAGAAAGCTGCACTAAACTGGGCCTGAACACAGGGAGCCCGGCCCAGTGATTAACTGGATGGCACAAGAGAAGAGCCAAACAAACCAATTTTTAACAGCCAAACCACTACAACATAACCACGAAGAGTCATGTTTAGTTTTACATGTAGAGACTGTATAATCATGCACATACACACACACACACACACACAGAGGCACATGCAAGCCCACACAGGCACGTACATACGTGTATTCTCTTGGTCTGCCCCGCCAGAGGATAGGCAAGATAATTGCTTGGCCAAATCAACAAAATCACTCAAGCCTAGAGTGGTCCAGAATTTCTAGTTCTAAGTGATTCGTCAGTGCGAGGCATGATAAGGAAGGGTGAAGAAATAGACTGTATAAGTGTATCAATTCTCTGCTTCCCTTTGCATATGTTCATTATTGAGAATCAATTCCAGTTTGAGAGGAGGCTTTAATTCCTTGTAAATGAATAGGAAGTGAGTAAGTAAATGTTCGGGGTTTTCCTCAAATTATGTCTCGTAATGTAAGAAAACAGTGGCAAAAAGCCATCAACAGATGGTGTTTTCATTAGCCAGAGATTTATTTTTTCAAAGCGTTTTCATATTAATGAAGTAAGGTGGAAATTAGAGTCATCTTGTCAGTTCTAGTTCTGTGTTGTTAAAATGTGCTGGTGTTCTACAAATTGCTAGGAGGCCAGAGCAAAATAACCATTTGCCATAATTTTGTGATGGTAACCCAAGGTCCATAGTCTAACCAGACCCCAAATTATGTGTTCAACCCTAATTTTTGTTTTCAGTGGCTTTACAGAAACTGTGAGTCTTCATTCTGGGCCATAAATGAGGAACACACAGATCTTAGCCCTGCTCTGCATTATGAATTATTAATAGGATGTTTGTTTCATGAAAAGCGTTGCAACAGGTTGCATGTACTTGTTAGAAAACATTTTCCCCATGGAATCCTAAGTTTGAATGGAAATGCAATACAGTTTGAAACACGGCTTCTAATACTGTGTCTGCTCTTAGTTCATCAATCTACATTACGTTTACCTAATATGTCAGTCTAGTTGATGGTGATACATGGGATTTCCATCGATCTAGGAATCGGGACCACTGTGCTAGTGGAAGTCATAAACTGATTGAGCCCGTTACCAATGCCCACTCTCTAAACTAAGCTGGACCCTTATATCAAACCAGAGCTCTATCTTATTCAGGTCCCAGCCAAATTTTTGAAGAGGAGCACAGACTGGCAGCCTCCACATAGTCACTACTGATGTACTCCCTAACTCTGTGTGTTTTGGCATTTGCTTCCAACACTCTCCTGAACTCCTTTTTCAAAGGTCACCAGTTACTTCTAATTACCATATCCAACTGCCTTTTATGAGTCCTCATATATCTTGCACTCTCTGCATATGTGACAGTGACAGATTCCTTCTTGAAACATGTTTCTCTCGATGATCCTCCCGGTTTGGCCCAGACCTGCATTACCAACTGCCCTGAATATTGTAGCATCTTCTTAACCAGAGTCCCTGCCCCTAGGCTCTCCTGTTTCAGTCTGCCCCACATATTTGTGACACGTTCTAAACGCGGCCCTGATTATGTCATTGTCTTGCTCAAAAGCCTTTGGGAAGTCCCTACTGCTAAAGAATGAAAGGAGGTACAGACTCCTCACCTAGGCATTCAAGACCTTGAAAACAGCACCTCCACCTCCATTTCCAACCTTGTCCCCCACTACTCTCTTGTACCCCCTCTTCTAGCCCAAGTCAACTTCTCTTCCCTGAATATGTCTTTATACTTTATTCCCTTTTACTCATGTTATTCCTCGTGCCTGGAACACCCTGTCCGCCTCCATCTCTGTTACAATCTTGCTTATCCTTCAAGATCCACCTTAATGTCACCTCCTCTTTCTCTTTGAATTTACTGCACCTTCAACAGAGTAGGTACTCATTACCTTTTGTTGTATTAAATCTCTGAACTACTGCCATTTCTTTTTTTTTTCCCTCGTGATATCTACTTAGCTTAGAGATCATGTCCAAACCAACAATTGCTGCCCTTCTTTTCTCTTCTCCATTCTCTTTGCCCTTGCTAAGGAGAAGGCCATGGATTGAGATGGTTGTGGAGTTAAAGAGGGCCAGGGGAGACACCGTGCCCAAGCCAAGAACAATGGAATAAGTGGGGAAAAATCACTTCCATGGGAATAAAGCCAAAGAAACTAAGATCTGGCAAGAGGGAAGCAAAGATTAAGTTGGTTCTCATAATCCAGTTTGAGAACAAGTGATCTCAGACCGCCCATCGTAGAAATACATATATCCATGGGAATACATCCTCTGGGATGGACTCCTGGGACAGTGCCAAGAATACTAAGGAGCCACAGCTACTTAATAGACAAGAAAGGGGCCAAGTACATGAGTCCTCTTCCCCTTCCCCCACTCCCCTTCGCTTCCCCCTACATTCCCTCATAGCGAAAACATGGACTTTGAACAACTACAAACCAAAGGAGCCATGGAGACTGCAATGAAGCGATGTACAAAACCAAGGAAAGGAATGTTAGCAGAGGAAGGGCCAAGAAAGAAGTTGGGGTATTTGGAACAGACTTTGTGGGGGTGTTGGGATGGTGAGCGAGAGAGAGAGGAGTGGATTTTGGGACTAGTCCTAGAGGAGAAGGAGCCACCAGAGCTGAAGACTTGGGAGTGGGGAGGAATATAAAAGCCCATTATCAACCAAGAGCAAAGAACACTCTGTTTTTTCCCATAAGGAATGAAAATGGGAGGGAGCTGCCTGCCCAACTGAAAATACGCTAAGAGTTCTGAGTGCTGTTGTAATTCTGTTATATTCAACAGATTTGCACGTTGCTTCTAATGCACACCTAAGAAGATCTATGTACCAGTAAGCAACGATAAACAATGGATATCCTGTCTTGATACAGCCAGGAGTTGCCATTTGAGTTCTACTATCTCCATGGGCTATTCCTTAGGGCCAAAGAAGGAGAGCTATGAGATACTATGCTTGATTTTTTTTTATAATTAAAAAATTTTTCTTGAAAATGTGTATTTTTGAGAGAGAGAGAGAGAGAGAGAGATTGTGAGTGGGGGAGGGGCAGGGAGAGAGGGAGACACAGAATCCCAAGCAGGTTCCTGGCTCTCAGCTGTCAGCACAGCACTCGACACGGGGCTCCAACTCCTGAGCCATGAGAGCATGACCTGAGCTGAAGTTGGAAGCTTAATCGACTGAGCCACCCAGGCACCCATACAAAGCTTGATTTTGATGAATCTCACACTTAATTAAAATACCATCTTTTTTTTTTTCCCCTGAAGAAACCTACTGATAAATCTAAAATGGTTTCAATAAAAAGACAAAAAAATCAAAATACTTGGAAAAAGCTGTGAGTAAGGCAAGAGACCTGGGTTCTAATCCCAGCTTTGTCGCATACTAATTATAGAGCTGTGAAGGACACGTTACCCCCATTCTGAAGCTCAGTTCTCGTGTGTAAGATGCTGACATATCTTACCTTGTGAATTATCATGGTTATTAAATGGTATATACCAAAATGCCTAGCATAGTGTCTGGCAAGTACTGATTGTTCAATAAATTACAGTTCCCTTTGTCTACTCATCTGTAAAAGAACAATACCTATTCATATGCCACTGGGTTACTATGAAGACAAAGTACTATGAAATACTTTAAAAAGCTAAAAATAGTATAGAAAACATAAGGTTGCCTTAATATCATAAATTCTACACCCATGAAGTCACAAATGTCATCTTTTTCCCAATATTGAGAGCCTGGAGCAAAAAGGTACAGTGTTATTAATTAACATCTAGAACAATGCTTGGCCCATAGCAAGTGCTCAGTGAATCTTTGAAATGTTTGTCAACTGACTAAATGATCTCCACATAATGTTGGTTCTCCAGCCCATTGAACGTTTCTTATTTTTTCCCTTCTTCCCTGTTTCCCTCTGGCTTCATACTTTGCGATGGCAGCAAACTCTGGAGATGAACCTTACCAACCTGGTTAAGCGCAACAGTGAACTAGAAAATCAAATGGCCAAACTAATACAGATCTGCCAGCAAGTTGAGGTACGTAACAGAAACATTTGCATTTCCTTCAGAGGACCTGAATCAGGTGATCATTTTGGCGGGGCGGTGGCGGGGGGGGGGGCAAGTTTTGTCAGCGTGTAGCTCAGACATTTGGAGTGAAAGGCTGAATGACAGTTCTGGGGAAGTCTCATCCCTTTAGGATGCTTGTTCCAAGAAAAGCAGCAGATAGCTATTATTTACACAAAAAATAGGTGGTAGCAATGGATTGGGGACAGAAATCCAGGGGGGTAATCCTTCCTTTCCAAGTGGCAGGCAACAGGAGAATCCAATATGAAGTGTGTTTCTTCTTTCATCAAACTGGACATCTTAGCTCCCTAAGGACATCTCTGGGGTGTCACAGGGGAAGCTGGGAACGCTGGGTCCCTGGCGTAGGGTGAGGTTCCTTCCATCCAAGATCGTGTCTGCAACAGTATTATCAGGAGAGCTCCTCCTCTTCCTAGCCTCTCCTCCCTTTGTCCCCACACGCTTCACTTGGTCCTCACTCGTCACCTTGCCACTTACTCTTGTCATCAACAAATGAGATCTGTGTTCAAGTTGTCTGTGAATTATAAAGTGTCCTACAAGTATAAGGTTTTCAAACCCTGTACCTACATGAAATCTACATCAACAGAGCAGAACTTACAAGGGGAGTCAGTCTTTTCATAAGAGGATATAATAAAAGATGTTATTTCTCTCTCTTTCTCAAGAGCACGGAACTTCAGCTGTGGCATGTGGTTTTGTGTTGATTTTGTTAAAGAGCCAATGGTAGGGCTTAAAGTCTAAACAGGGTCAGGTAAAATGTTACAGGACTCCTGGGCAGTGATAGGTTAAAAATGCTTCTAATTCTATTTACAACCTGGTAGTCTAGTTCTAATCTTACTCGTGTGACAGATAAATGTACTGGTTCAAGTTAAATCCCACCTAGGGATTTTTATTTAAGAAAGTATGAGAGTCTTCTTACAAGAAGAATCTTATAGGAGTAACCACTCCTGATTGTTTGGATTTCTTAAAGTATTGCATTTCTTAAAAACAAATTTTTTTTTTTTAATGTTGGGTGCCTGGGTAGCTCAGCCAGTTGAGCCTCCGACTCTTGACTTTGACTCAGGTCATGATCTCACAGTTCGTGGGTTTGAGCCTCATGTCAGGCTCTGAACTTACAGCACAGAGCCTGCTTGGATTTCTGTCTCCCTCTCTCTTTTCCCCTCCCCTGTTTGCTCTCTATTGCTTTCTCAAAAATTAAATAAAAATACCAAAAAAAATTTTTTTTTAATTTTTGACATTTATTTTTGAGAGACAGAGAAAGACAGAGTGTGAGCAGGGGACGGGCAGAGAGAAAGAGAGACACACACAGACTCTGAAGCAGGCTCCAGGCTCTGAGCTGTCAGCACAGAGCTTAAACTCCCAAACCATGAGATTATGATCTGAGCAGAAGTCAGATGCCTAACCGACTGAGCCACCCAGGCGCCCCTAAAGTATTGCATTTCTTAAAGTGGGGTGTACTTGGACGATGAGCATACCATGGCAACTTAATCCCTGCTGGGCACTCCCATTTGTGGAAGAGAGTGGTGCTATATGGAGGGTACATAAGATATCAGGTGCAAGATTGTGGAATGTAGTGGGAAATTTAGGGAGAAGCCCAAGGAATGGAAAGAAAGAATCCTGGAACCTAAGTTGCAAAGCTGGGTTCTTGACTTGACTCTGCCATTCACTGGTAATATGAATTTGTCTAAGTCATTTAGCCTCTCAGCTTCAGTGTCCCTACCTGTAAAATAAGAGCTTGAACTGACTACATGACCTTCGATGTGTCTTCCAGACTTCACAGGTCATGTTTCTATGAATGGTTACTTTCTTTATTCTCTTCTTTTGCTCTTTGATATCACCCTTTACAAGTGGGAGAAACACAACAGAAGGCATTTTAGAGTGCTTTTCAGCTAGTCAGAATCCCTCTGTATTCCACTCAATCAAAGCTCCTGATTATGCTGCTAGATTACAGTATGAGAAACCCACACTGGTGAAGAGACAAGGAAGCATTGTAAGCAGGAGACAAGATAAGGAATCCCTTGGCTTAGAATTTTCAATGGTTGAGGGCAGGGTAACGGCTAATAGTGAATAAAATGTGGGTAGAAATTATAATTACCACCTTCTTCATTCTCATCAAAAAGACTATTAAGTATAGTGTCTGAGTTGTAGTCAAATTAGCCAGGTAAGCAGTTTATTCGTATTGCTTATTCATCCTAAGACCTCTCTAACATCTTATCATCCCGCCCCTGGGAAGTGCATCACTCCAACCAGCCTCACCCAAGCACAACCCTGTTGTGGCCTCTCCCAGCCCGCTGCGCCCATCAAACCTCTGTATGCAGGGCCCCATGAGTAGCAAGGAGCTAGTCTCGTAAAACAATGCATCATTGTGTTAATAGAGAACAACGACTCATTCCAACCCCTCTAGGTAACAGTGATGTTTTAACAGTGCCTTTCTGAAGTCAGTGCTCTTGCTCGAGCCTTGCGGAGATGACACCAGTGCCGCCAAATATAAGCCAAGTGGGAGGGAAGAGCAGCCCCATAATGAACCAGCAGAGGAGGTGATTAAGAGGCTCCTTTAGGGATGCTTGTTAAATCCATTGCGTAGGCTGCCGTCTGCTCTGGCACGCGAAAGGTCACCTTTTACTAATATATATTTACGCACAGCATTGTGGCAGGTACAAAGGAAGGAGCCCTTGGAAGGCTTACACGCTGCACACATCCACCCTGATAGGGATATACGTGTGTGGGAAACACAGATAATGGAATCAAATGTCAACTGACAATTGGCAGAGAACCATGACATACTGCATTACATGTCAAGGGTGAGAGTGTATTTCGGGACTTGACTCCATTGGCTCTCCAGTTTAGGATCGTGTCTCTGACAGGAACCCTCCAGCATGGTTTGTGGAAGAGCATGGCTGTGCTCTATGACATCATCCCTTCTGAAAGGTTAGGGATATGCCCTAAACTTCCTCCTAATAATAGGGTGAATCCAGGGTACTCATTATACTCATTCAGCACAGAGCCTGTGCATCCAGAAGGCTTTGGAACAAGGCCTGGGATTAGAAATGCAGTTAAAGAAGGGACTTGAGACTCCATCAACGCTTGTAAACAGTTTCCAAAATGAAATAAATAGTAGGATACCTTCTGCCATGAGAACCGGACACTAAAGGGTGATTTGAGTTTTTTGCATCTTCTCGAATCCAGATTTATCTATAGGGAATGACTATATTCACAGAGCAAAGCAGGCCTTTCACGTAGGGCGGGGGTGGATGATACCAGCTAAGGCACTTCTGAGAAAACTGGAAGAGGCTATTTTCTTGCCAAACCTGTTCCCCTTCCTTATTGTCTACAAATGTTTTTGTCACAGGCTGACTTTTCATAAAGGGGCCATAAATACTGCCTCTCTCTCCTGGTTCTTTCTCCTGTTTCTCTATTCTCCTGAGAAAGTAAACAACGCTGCACTCTTCCTATTGTTACAGAAACAGAGATTAGGATCACCGCAGGTTTGTTAGCTGAATTCTTCAATCGTGCATCTTGTTCCAGTCGTGGCCCAGCTTTCAGAATTCAGGGGATAGCCAGTTGGAAAATATTTTTTATTTTGGTTGCGACTGGAGAGCCCGGGAAGGACATAGAAGCAGAGACAAGACTCCTTTAATCTGGTCAAGGGAGGGCATGCTTTGACCTTGCTCCTCTGACCACTTGATCTCTATATATAGTTCTTTGTCCTGTCTCATCAGGCATCCTTTGTTGACATTGCCAAAGGAAACCTCTGTTTAATGCATAGCCAAGGGAAAATGTATACCAACAGACGAATATTTCCTCTTGGCTTCCAGGACTCCACCGTTTTGTGAATAACAAGCATTCCTGAAAACAGCGAGGGGAAGAAAAATAGTTAACTACTTAGTAATCCATTGGTCAGCAACAAAGGGTTTCTCCAGCAAACACTGTGTACTCAGTGTGGTGGGCAATTTGGGAACTATAAAAGAAACGTATGCTATTGATGGCCTCCAGGAACTTTGGAGTCCAACTAGAGAAAACACTGTATCTCGTAAGCATCCAAACGGCATGCAGTATGGGGGTACAAATGAAGGCAAGGGTAGGCTTTCCATTTTTACTTATTTAGTCTTGTCGGCAACTTTTAGGGCACTGAGCATACGAAAGCACTTTGCTGGATATTTCGTGTGCCCCCTATCTTCCTCCCCTCTGGAACTGCTGTAGCACAATGTGTTTGTTAGTCCATCCCAGGAGCTCCATGGGCAGATTGATTTCTTTCTGGCGCTTCTCAAGCCTTTTCAAGGAGCGGGGACGGGGGGGCTTCCCTTAGTCGGGGGAATTTCAGCTTTCTGTCTTGCCCCCAGCTCTTAGCTTCAGTAGCTTTCAAAAGTCTTACTGTGGGTGGCTCGGTGTTCTCCCTTTTGGTCATACTGCTCACTGGAAGGGCGTTTGGTCTGGGAAGGGCAAGAATCGATGCCTGACTGCTTCTCCAAGCGTAAAAACGGATGGGTTTTTTTCCCCCCAGTAATTGATTTTTAAGAACCCCACTTCTGTGGATGATTTCAGTAGATGGTCCTTCAGTGTTTTAGAGTGGTCGAGCTAGAAGAGAGAATCAAATCTAAATCATTAAAGCACAAATCTGTTTGTTGGAAGAGTCTTCTCCAAGCCCTCAAGCCATGATAAAATGAAGCAGTGAGTAGAGTGAAGTAGGTGTAATCAGGGGAAATTCCGTAGAGAAAATGCATTTTAGAGAAAAAGGTTTAAGGAGGAAGAATAAAGTACTCCCTCTGCTGAGACAGAGAGCATATCATATGGGCAAAATGGTCAGTTAGGCCCTGGGTAGATAGAGATAAATAGGAAATGGTCCCTGCCCTCAACTCAGGGAACTTACCTGGCAGGTAAAATGTCAAATACGGTGTCAAGTGATAATTATTGTAATGAAGGCGAAGTGCAAGACGACAAGCTAGCCTAGAGAAAGAAAC